GCCGCGGGAGCGCTGCGACACCGCGCGCAGCACCTGCTGCATACTGCTCTGCAGCTCCACCACCTGCAGCAGCATCATCATCAAAAGCTTGCCCTAGTCTCTAAAGAGGGTCGGCACGGTATGTGCTACTTCCATTTCTATCAGAAGTCATACTAATCCACTCCTTTAAGCATATCCTCTTTCACACAATCCATACAAACTTTCTTCTGTCTTCTTTTGTAACTGACCACATTCAATCTTTTTAATAAAAACCACACATAATTGTAAAAAAAAGTTTATAAATAGTGAAGAATACCTGTGCCTGCAAACTGCAGCATGTATCAGTCAATTGCCTCAACACTTCAGAATTATCATCAGTATCAAATAACTTGTTCTTCTGCACATCTGGAACATATAGATAAACAATTGTTCTAAATGTTAGCTCTTTCCCTTTTAAAGTTAGCCTATCCTATTTCAACGTTAGCCTGTCTTATTTCAAAGTTAACCTTTCCTGTTTAAAAGTTAGTCTTTCTTATTTCAAAATAAGCAGTTTTTTTTTTTAAAGTTAGCCTTTTTATTTCGAAGTAAGTTTTTCCGTATAGTTAGGTGTTTCTTATATTTTTGATTAAGTTTAATTTATGATACCTTTTTTTATTATTTTGTATTTTAAACGATTTAGTGTGTGAATAGTGAATATGTTTTTACCGGCGTTTTGTAGAGTAGAAACTTTCTTCCATAATGCATTGATGGCCTGCATTTGTAGTTGTTGAATTTTTCTTTCACTTTCCAAAGCTGCTTTAGTCGCCTCCATGTCGCAGGTCAGTCGTCTGTATATGTATAATATTAATATTGTAATTCCGAAAGTTTGTCTGGATAGACGTTTGTTACTACTCAAAACGGCTCAACGGATCTCGCTGAAATTTGGCATAGGTGTAGTATTAACTTTTTATGAACAAAAGGCGTTGCCGGCAATAATTGGTACATAATATGTGATTTAAGTTACTTTTTGTTTCAATTAAAACCCTATATAAAATAAAAACTCACGCTCGTCAAATTCTATACGTGACGGCCATTATGGTATTTGACATTTTTAATTATTGTCTATGTGAGTTAAAATAAAGCAATATTGTAAAAAAATATTACATAATTATGTAAAAAATGATATTAAGAAATATTTCGGAATTTACGAGTTTTAAGGTAAATTGTAGTTTGTTGGTTGGATGTTTTATTGTTTTAGTTGTTATGTGGTATACTCACTGTATATGCTGTCTCGCTCTAGCAGCTTGTATCGCGTGCAGGATCCTCAACGTATCCTTATTTAAATTCCTACTTCTGTATCCTCTCCACATCTTCTGTATGGTGACCGCGGCCATCGCCTCCACACTCATCTTCTTCTGTCTTCTTTGGTTTGACGCTAACCTTATCATCTCCAATTTATCGTGATCTATTTGGTCCATTTCCTTATTATTTGTTATACCATTTATCTTTTTCTCGTCGTTTTTAATTTCAGATTTTGTCAAACTGCCTTTACGTTCCATTTTGGATTTCAATTTCGGTGATGAGTTTGCGCTTTTCGGTAGTTTCGGTGATGATTTTAGACTTTTTAGTTTTCTATCTTCTTGGATGCTGCTATTACTGGATTGGCTTGATGTATTTGATATTGTGTTCGGCTTTGGTATAGTTCTTTGGATATCATAAATAGGATCTTGGTAGTCAGGGCTCATTAGAGATTCCGGCACTGGTACCATCTTTGATGCTGCTTCTAACGATTGATTCACTGGTTTTGATACTTCTGCTAAATAAAAATAACTATTAGCTACCAAACTCGTTTTAGAGATATTAATTAAGAGAATTTCAACTAAAGTGAATGCATACATTTTGTTTATATGAATTTCACTGTACAAAAATTAATATTTACATAGACATTTTTAATACAATTTTTAACATATCAAAATCAAACAATCATTCAAACATCAAACAAATATTATAAATGCATAATATTAGATAGATGGATATTTGTTACGATTCTCCAAAACGGCTTAACGAATCTCGGAGGGTACTCTTGTAGAACAAACATATTGGAAGAACAGGCTATTTACTAGATTTTTTT